TGCTGGGCCCCTGTAACCTCTGCAAACCCTGAAATCACTAATTCAGTGCCTGTGCTTTCTGCCTAAGAACTGGATGCATTCCTGCGTGGCTTGCCTGGCCAGTACTTGGACATCTGTAGAATTGGACCATTTCCTGATAGCTGTGTTCCTGTTCTGAATGGTCATGCCACACTATGCAAATTTTAAATAATTAAAACTCCAAAGTGTTATTTATTTTTTACTTTTGGTCCTAGGGATTGAATCCAGGGCCTAACATGTGTTGTGTGTGTGTTCTGCCAGTGGGATACACCCCTAATCCATCATTCATTCATTTATTTATCCATCTTTTAAAAGCAGCCCAGTGACCATCCCTGGTAGTACATGCCTGTAATTCCAACATTTGGGAGACTGAGGTGAGAGGATCACTTAAGTTCAAGACAGCCTGGGCTACATAGTAAGTTCAAAGCCAACTTGGGCAACTCTTACCTCAAAAAAATTAAAGAGACACACAAAAAAAGAAAGGAGGCATGCAGGCAGCACAGTGTTTAAAGACTAAAGGGGTGGGGGTTGGGGGCTTAGCTCAGCGGCATAAGTGCCTGCCTTGAAAGCAGGCAGTTGTAAGTTCGATCCCTGGTACCGATAAAAAGGAAAAAGACAAAAAAAAAAAAAAAAAAAAAAAAGACTAATGGGGTGAAAAGGACAATTGAAAATGCCAGGGCTTGTTTGTGACACTTGGCTGACCACACTGTCCTAGGCAGAGACACACTCTGTTACTCTATGAGCAAGTCTTCAGTGTCTATTTTTTCCAATTAATTTATAAAGCATACAATAAGGTAGATGTGGAGGGGGTATTGAACGCAGGGCTTTACACTGAACTGTATTTTCAGCCCTTTTTTAATATCACTAAATCACTTAGTACTCAGGTACTCAGGATGGTTCAAACTTTTCTCATTTCTCAGAGTGCTGGGATTACAGGTATGTGCCACCACACCTGGCTGTACAGGATAAATTATGCATATTAGGGAGATGGGTGAGAGGACTGAGTACATAAAGCACATGTTTGATAGTCTTTAGTTGTGACCCAACTTTCTGAGCCTAAAAACTGCTCTCTTCTGAGGCTTTGGGCATTTATTTATTTTTGGTGGGCTCCTTGCACCTACCTTCAATTGAACCCCACTGTCCACTTTAGGAACCTATTGTTTTCTCACCTCTGTAGATCTACAGGGCCTTACAGGTTTTCTCCTGTGCCCATGTTGGTGCCAGATTGACAGAGAATGGAGAGACATGTCTATGGGAGGCCCTAGTCCTCCCCCAATCTCCATCTCTCTCTCTCTCTTTCTTTCTTTTCTTTCTTTCGAGATACGTTTCACTATGTTTCCCAGGCTAGCCTTGAACTTTAGTGATCCTCTTGCCTTAGCCTTTTGAGTACTAGAATTACAGACATGGTGGATATGTGCCACCTGCTTGGGCCTCAGTCCCTTCTTTTTGACAGTCAAGATTTTTTCTGAAAGCGGGTGTGGTGTCACACACTTGTAATCCCAACACTCAGGAGGCAGAGGCTGTGAGTTCAGAGCCGGCTTGGAATATATAGCAAGACCCTGTCTTTAAAAACAAAAAAGATCTCTGGAGTTACATCCTGGGGCCAGCAACCTTAAGTTATCAGTAGCAAGACCTTTGACAGATTGTGTTCCTAGAATATGGGCTTATTCCCCAAAGACCACAGAATAGCTGTGTGTATGTACAGCTCGCAGGTAAGGACCTTTCTATCTTCTGAGTGGCCTCTCTTCTGAGTGACTGGGCATGGTCCCCAGGGGCTGTAGAATGTTTCTATTCTGGATGAGGTCAGGCCTTCACAGGGCTGGGGCTCCTCTGTCCTGTGCCCACTTTAAGAGAAGTAAATGCGTAAATGTATTGGGTTTCCAAAGGCAGGTGGCTTCTGGGTGAGTCTTTCAAAAAGTGATCACAGTGGTCACAGTGGACAGCTGAATCATTGGCCAGGACGGCCTCATAACTTCTTCAAGGACAGTGCTTCCGATGGTGGTCATAGGCTGAGGTATTGGCATGGGTCTTTATGCCCTAGATCTGTGGTAACAAATGTCTTTCTATGCTTTTCCCTGGTATCAAGTGCTCTGCCAGGTGTGCCACAGCACCATCTAGGGGTGACTTTGTAGCAGAGAGCAGTACCTTTCCTAGGAGTTTGAGCTTGGGAGAGTCTCCTAGCAAGATCAAGGCTGTCCTGTGAGAGCTGGACATGGAAATAATCCTGGTCTCAGGGAGAAACATTGAAATCACTGCAGCAGTGTCCTCACAGGCCTGTGGGAACTACAGCTACCAGCATTGAGTTTTCTGTTCAACAGTAATCCAGGAACCAGAGAAGCAGAAGAGAGCTGGGGCTAGGCCTGAGTAGTGTTACTCTCTGAAGGCGTACACAAAACACACCTTACTTTTGGTGTGCGTGTATTTAGCTTAAGATCTAATATGTTGGTGGGTGTGGCAGCACATACCTGTAATCTCAGGACTCGAAAGTCTGAGACAGAAGAATCACCATGAGTTCGAGGCCAATCTGGGCTATGAGGTGAGTTCAAGGCCAACCTAAACTATGTAACCCCTGTCAAAGATACAATGTCTCTTTTCTTTTTCTTTTTCTTTTTTTTTTTTTTAAGACAGGGTTTCAGTATGTAGTTCAGGCTGGCTTTGAACTCACTTTGTAGCCCACATTGGTCTCAAACTTAACAGCAATCCTTTTGCCTTAGCCTCCTGAGTGCTGAGATTACAGGTGTGTGCCACCATGCCTGGCTAAAGATACAATGTTTTTATTGTGTTCAGATGCACAACTCTGGCACTATAGTAACTTGCCTGGTTGTGCAGCTGGCACTTACAGCCCCTAACAGTGTGGGTTGATCCTAATTCTCCACATCCATATGTGTTAGCTATTTCTTGTTTTAGTCTACCTGTCCCCTAGATGTGAAGTGGCAGCATGGGGTTTATGTTTGTTTCCTTATGACTGGCAGAGGTGAAACTAGTGACACCCTTTATCAAAATAAAATTAAATTTAAATAAACAAAAGATTGTTTTACCCTTGACAGTGCTCCAAACTCATTCCAGTTGCCAGTTCTTGTGTTTATTATAATTAACATATCTTCTTTGGAAAAATATCAACCCAAGGGCTTGGCCATTTCTATTAAGGTTAGTTTTCTATTGTTGAGTTGAAGTTCTACAAAGAACTAGACCCTGATGAGATACATGATTTGGAAATATTTTCTTCCATTCTATGGATTACCTTTTTCATTCTGTTGATACTGTCCTTCAGTGTATGAGGAGCAGATTTTGATGTGCAGTTAATAGGCCAGGCAGAAAGATGGCCCATAAGGAGCCACTAATGCCTGAAGGAAGATATTGTGTGGTCATCTTATAGGCATCTTATGCATACACACATATACAGAAATACACACTGTTCATGTGAGTATGAAACCTGCGTTTAAAAACTGTTCCTTTTTAAGCCCCCATGGAACAAGAGGTATTACAAGATCTTAGCTGAGAATGGTGGGCCACATCTGTAATCTCAATACTCTGGAGGAAGTAGAGGCAGGAAGATCAAAAGTTTGAGCTTGAAAAATTTAGTGACGGGGGCTGGGGGTTTAGCTCAGCGGCATAAGCGCCTGCCTTGCAAGCAGGTAGTCGTGAGTTCGATCCCTGGTACAGATAGAAACGAAAAAGACCCAAAAAAAAAAAAAAAAAACAAGAAAAATTTAGTGACTAAGTGAGATCCCATGTCAAAATGAAAGAACTAGGAATGCATCTCAGTGTAGAGGCCCTGGGTTCAATACCCAGCAGTACTGCCAAAGGAAAAAAAAAAAAAAATCCGCACCATCTTGTTATGTTTTTAAGACTTGAATGGAAATGGTGACTGAGTGCTACAGGTTGGTGCTTTTGGAAAGGCTTTCATTTTGTCTGTAAGCTAAGTATCCTGTGCTGTCTACTGCCATCGACTTCCCTTGAACCGGCTCTTTCCCAAAAAAGTGTAAAAACTAACCTTCAAGATACAGAAAGGTTCTCTGGAAAATTCTTCAGAGAAGTAGCATTTCAAAACATTACTTTATCATTAGCTAAGCATGGTAGTGCAGGTCTGTAATCCCAGCACTTGGGAGGGCTGAGGTAGAAGGATTACTAGAGTGTGAGGTGAGCCTGGACTACATAGTGAGTTCAAGGCTGGCCTGAACTATATAGTTGATCCGGCCCACGGATCAGTCCATGGGTCTTGCCTGGAGAGAGAACGGGGATGGGGGGCAGGGCAAGAGGAAAGAGAGAGAGACAAGATGAAAGGTTCCAATCAAGTCTCGTTTATTCAGGAAGTGTACATGGCTTATATAAAGTCCAAGGGAATGTGGCTTTATAGGATAGGTCAGTTTAGATCTCCTCATATGATGTGGACTTACCAGATTAGCAGGAAACCATGCGTAGGCATCTAGGTAAGCGGAAGTACGTAAGCACATGAAGATCATGGGAAATGTAGGCAGACGTGACAGAGGCCCACAGGAGGGCGAGATAAGGTGGCAGCAGTTAGATATGCCGCTCCCTACACATAGTGAGACCCTGTAGCAAGATAAAATTTAAATAGATAAAAGATTGCTTCACCCTTGACTACTCCAGGCATACTCCAGTTGCCAGCGCTGGTCGGGGTGGGGATAGTGAACCTGAAAACTGGGAAATGCTTTATCCCTTGAGAGTTCAGCTTCAGAGTCTATATACAGTAGGTCAGAGTAGAGGTTAGCTGTCCTCCTCTAGGAATCTTGGGCTCAGAGCCCCAGGAGAGGTTGTCACAGGTAACTTACAGATGGTATCCTCTTTGGACCCCCATGTTTGCTGTGTGCTGGAGAGGGGTCTTAAGAAAGCCCCAGCCTAGGGCAATAAGCACCTTGCTTTGCAGGAAGTCAAGTGGAAATAGAGGAAGTTTTTTTCTACTTTGCAGCGGACTTGGATAAGAAGTTGCTAATGGTTGTTTCTCCAATGCTTCTTCTCAGGGATTGATTACAAAACAACCACTATCCTGCTGGACGGCCGGCGTGTCAAGCTGGAGCTGTGGTGAGTCAGGGTAATCAAATAGAGACGGGGAAACCAAGTGAAAAAGCAGGAAGGTGCCCAACCTACCTCTCACTTGCAATAGCCATTTAAACAGAACCTGTTTGGTAGAATTTTGCTCAATGATGGGAAAAACAAAGTGTAGGGCATTTAGCTCTGATAGAACCCCCTTCCCTTTTTGCCCAAAATCTCATTTCCACAGTGGCCACATGCCTTTGCCACAGCCTTTTATGGGCTTCACCTTAAAAATTATATCCCAGAACTTCAAAGTCAAGACATGAATACCTATAGGTCTGAGAGTGTCTAGATAGTGTCTCAGACTTGGAGGCCCAAGGAAGATGATGACCAGATGATGAAGGCTGGCCCCCTCTGCTGTCTGACTAGTGGTATAAAGATGCTGGGCTAGTGTGATTTGTGCATTTGACACCTTTCTGGCTCAGTCCATCTATGCCAGCTCTAGCCACCCTCCCCCAATGTCCCCAGCATGTTCACAGTGAACCTTCAGAGTGCAAGAAGGTGGGATACCAGCCTTTTACATAGGGACTACATTTGTACCCTGGAGCATCTATGGCTTTGGTTCCTCCTGACCCTCCCTGTGTGTTTCAGGGACACGTCGGGCCAGGGCAGGTTCTGTACCATCTTCAGGTCCTACTCCAGGGGCGCTCAGGTAAGATCAGCAGCATTCTTTTATCTTTCAAATGAATTCTTCTCTAGATTGTTTCTGAGTTACTTTATTACTTCCTTAGGGTATTTTTATTTAAACATCAGATTTCTCATATTAGCTCATCTATATTTGCAGGATACATCCTCTTGTGACTCCCTCTGTGTGTGAGAGCCTCTCCTCCTAGGTCACTTGTGCCAAGGGATGCCTAGGTCCCCAGTTGCCCAGCTGTCAGTGTTGTCCTCATAGCTACAGCTACTGGGCTGTCTGCATGGGGCTATGAAATGTGTCCTGAGCCTAGCTAGTAGCATAGCCACTACTGTGGCCTCCCCAAGCTGTTGAAATGCAGCTTGTTCACTAGAGGTGTCACCCTGTATCTGCACAGGATCCCTCAGAATTATACAGCTGCTGTGGGTGCCCAGGACTGAATCACAAATCATGACTTTGCAGAATAGAGATACTGAAGGTGGGCTATATAGCAGAGGTCGCATCAGATCCTTAGGAGAGGGGTATAGTGGCTGCACAAGGCAGGATGTGGGATCTTGTCCTGCCTGTGGAGGACACTAGACATGCATAGGTGTGTGTATAGGATTTGTGCTCTGGTGTAGAGGGCACCCTTGTTCTTTGTTCCCTAGGCCCCCCAGCATGCTTTCTGATCCACTTGTCGTGCTGAGACTGAAAGGGAGGGAAAATTGTGAACAGATTGCTATAGATGTGGTCCTGCTGCAGTGAGTAGGGTACGCCTAGAAGCTCTGTCTTATGATGCACCCTAGATTTGTGAAAGAGCCAAAGAAACCCTAAGTATCTGACTCCTCCAATAGAGCAGTGACTTCAGCTAGGAGCATTTTGGGAAGGAAGGGATAATGTTTAGTCTGGTATTTGGATACTTTCAAAGAAAGGTCACAGGTTCAGGTGCATGTTCCATTACTTCTAGCCTTAGATGAGTCTGCTCCAGGAAGGACCCTGTGTCTACAGTTGCCTGCATCTGTAAGCAGGGGCAGCCTCCCCTCTCTGCTATTCATAGGCTTCCTAGTATTTCTCCCACCTTAGAAGCCCAAGGGGAAGAAATTCTTGTGTGTGTTTTGGGGGGGTGTCAAATTAAAATCACTGAGATCTAGAATAACAAGGGCAATCCTGGGCAACAAAGACAGGACAGGGCATCACAGTCCCTGACTTGAAATTATACTATAAAGCTACTGTGATAAAAACAGTATGGTACTGGAAAAAAAAAAAAGATCAGTGAAACAGATTAGAAGATACAGAAACGGGGCTGGGGATTTAGCTCAGTGGCATAAGTGCCTGCCTTGCTAGCAGGTGGTCGTGAGTTCGATCCCCAGTACCGATAAAAATGAAAAAGACAAAAAAAAAAAAAAAAAAAAAAAAAGAATGGATCAGAGATCTTTTTTTTTTTTTTTGATCAAAGATCTTAATGTTAAAATAGATACCTTATATCTGCTGGAAGATAGAGTAGGTAAAACTATTCAAGACATTAGTATAAGCAAAGATTTTGTGAACAAAACCCTGATTGCACAGAAACTATCACAGAGAATCAACAACAGGAATCTCATCCTACTGAAAAGCTTTTGCACAACAAGAGAAATCACAAGCAGAATGAAGAGACATACCCACAATGTGGAAGAAAATGTTTGCCAGCTGTACCTCAAACAAAGGATTACTATCAATAACGTATAAATAGCTTAAAAAAAAAAATCAGTCCTTCCAGATTTAAAGACCCAATCCAAAAATGGGCGTCCGAAGTGAATACACAGTTCTCAGGTAAAGAAATACAAACAGCAAATGTGTTCAGTATGTGAAAAAAATGTTCAGTATCACTGGTCATTCAAGAGATGCAAATTAAAACAACACTGAGATTCCATCTCACCCCAGAAAAAATGGCTATTATCAAGAAATCAAGCAATACTAAATGCTGGAGGGGCTGTGGGGAAAAAGGAACCCTTCTCCACTGTTAGTGATAATGCAGACTGGTGCACCTACTGTAGGAATCAATGTGGAGATTCCTCAGAAAACTAGGACTACAGGTTCCATTTGACCCAGCTATTCCCCACCCAAAATAATTTAAAAACATTGGGGCTGGAGATTTAGCTCAGCAGCATAAGTGCCTGCCTGGCAAGCACAAGGTCATGAGTTCGATCCTCAGTACCGAAAAAAGAAAAAAAAACAATTAAAAACATCATACCACAGGGCTGGGGATTTAGCTCAGCAGCATAAGCACTTGCCTGGCAAGTGCACAGTCGTGAGTTCGATCCCTGATACCTAGAAAAAAAAAATCATACCACAGTGATATATTTGCACCCATGTTTATAGTAGCACAATTCATAACAGCCGGATCTTGGAAACAACCTTAAATGCCCATTGACTGAGGAATGGATAAAAAAGATACGGTCTTTTTATACAATGGAGTACTACTCAGCCATAAAGAAGAGTAAACTGGAGACTTTTATAGGTAAATGGATGCAACTTGAGAACATACTCATTAGTGAACTAGATAAGACACACGTGTAATCAGATTGCATGCAGTGTGAGAAGCTGAATGAAATAATATATGTATATATATTTGTATAAAAAACTAAAGATAAACTACTGATTTCTCTGAATTTACTGAAGAGAAAGATTTGTGCTGGTATTGTTCAGACAATTGAATGCAGATGTCTCCTGCTCTGGGTAAATGATTTGGGGATGAAAATGCACAATGTGTATACCATTGTTGCTCCTTGTTTGACATGTTTTGAAATTTTTAGGTTTTTTGTTTTTCTCCTTGAAATAAACTGGATTTTAAAAAATAAAGTCACTGAGATGGGTATTGGCAGGGTTGGATTGAAATCACTGAGGTGTTATTGGAGTCAGAAGTCACTGAGGTAGACATTGGGACTAAGTGCAGTGATTGAGGTGGGTGTCCACAGGGCTGGATTGAAGTCAGCAAGGTGCTTGAAAGGATACTGGATTAAGATCACTGAGGTGGGTGTTGGCCCGGGCTGAGCTGAAGTCACTGAAGTAGATGTTGGTGGGGCTGACTTGAAGTCTGAGGTATTGGTGGGGTTGAGTTGAAGTCATTGAGTGTTGGTACAGCAGCATTGAAGCCACTGAAGTGAATGTTGACAGGGTCACTGAGGTGTTGGAAGTATCAGATGGAAGTGGCTGAGGTGTTGGAGAGACTGATTATGACTCTTGTATCCACGGCTTCCTATTTGCGAAGTTTCTCAGGTGTAGCAAGAGGTGAGACAGATGCTGCCTGTGGATTTACGCTGCTGGCAGAAAGCATGTTTGACATTCGTGTATACTCAAGTGTGATCAACATCAACTTTCTGCCATCTCTCCTCTGCTGGAGCTGCACCTGTACTAGAATCCTGCAGAAAGCCTGAGTGCTGCTTGCCAAGCGTTGTAACTCACCATGTCCCCCATTGGGGTACCCACAGCAGGTGCCTACAGCCCAAAGTCTTGCTAGATTTGTTGATCCTCAGATAATCAGAGACCAACAGGAAGCCCTCAACAATGTCCTTCACAGTGTTGAGCAGTTGTTACTGTCTTTGTTCTGGTACCATAAGTAAGGGTAATTTAAGGGGAAAACCACAGGGTACAACCCCAGGCTGCCTCCAGAGGACAGGGCTCTGAGGATCACTGGGGCAAAGATTGGGGCAAAGTATTCATCTTTTATGTACACAGAAAGATGTTTTATTGTCTATCTTTCGTTTGCCAGCATTTTCTAATTTTTCCACAATAAACATATACAGTATGATCAAAATATATGGTGTTTAAATTTTTAAAAATTAGCCAGGCATGGTGGCTTACACCTGTAATCCCAGCACTTGGAAGGCTGAGGCAGGAGGATCGTTGCAAGTTCAAGACCAGCCTAGGCTACAAAGTGAGCTCAAGGCCAGCCTGAACTGCACAGTGAGACCCTGTCTCAAAAAAATATATATATTTTTTTTGTCTTTTTCTTTCTTTCTTTCTTTCTTTTTCTTTTTTTTTGCTTTTTCATTTTTATCGGTACCAGGGATCGAACTCAGGACTACCTGCTTTCAAGGCAGGCACTTATGCCGCTGAGCTAAATCCCCAGGCCCCCCCCCCATTTTTTTTTAATTGATTGCACTAAAAGACACATTGAAGTTAATCCCCCTCAAAATACTTCTCTTCAAACACATTGTTGTAATCAGGATTTGCAAAGAAAACAGTTTAATACAGGACACATAATTTATAGAATTATTTTATAATAATCACCCAAATAGTCAAATACCAGAAAAGTGCAAGAGATCTGTCCACACACTATAAAAACTCAAAGAATCCAGCTAAGGACCTGGTTCCATGGCAGTATCCTGCGTGACTCTAGTTCAAGACTTAGAGCCCCGATAATGCCCCCCAGACGTCCAACTGGAGGCCTAGAGCCCATAACAGTGTCTTCTCGTACAAGTCTATTTCATGGATCTGCACTGAGAAATCCCAAAGGTAAGTAGTAGAAGCTAGAAAGCTAGGATAAAGGATCTATGCCAGTATGCTGATGGTTCTGCACTGGAGCTAGGAAGTGATGCTCAAAGTAAGGACGAGAGCATTCTTAGTGACAAGGTCCCAAGCTCCTCCAACAATAATAACAGCCAAGTTCATATCAGGAACAGGAGAACAAGCTGCACTTCTTCTTCCTCTCCATTTCTCCTTGTTTTGTTGTTAGCAACAATCCTCAGGTGGGCCATCCACACCCAGCACCATGCTGATTCAGTTCAGTTAGGTGTTACAAATTGACACAGGCTTATGCTATTTTTGCCACTTTTTGTTTGGTTTTTGAGGCAAGGTCTCTTTTGTAGTTCAGGCTGGCCTCAAACTGAAGCTGATACTCCTGCCTCAGCCTCCCAAGTACTGGGATTACAAGCATGCATTACTTCTGGCCTAGTTTCTTACCACTTTTTGGGATGGTCTCTTTTTTGTTTGTTTTATTTTTGAGACAGGGTCTTGTTATATACTTCAGGATGGGCTTGCACTCACTGTCCCCAGGCTGA